TTTGGACACAGATCTATAGAAAAGTTATCATATGAGTGTGAGACTTTAATAAATGGGTTTATTGATAACTTTTCTAGAGATCTGTGTCAAAATTTAATAGTGACCTTTTGATATCCTACTCACATAAATGTGTAAGGGTCTCATATTACTCTTAAATAAATACATTATCTTGGGTATATGGTAATTTTGGCTGATCAATTCTTCAAAATAATAAAGATATAGGAGCTTATTAAGTCAAGGGTCGTTCTTAGGTTAACCATATTTACTGCTTCACACTTTCTCTCATTTCGTAGTAAAACCCTCCCCTTTTGTCTCTCTTTATGGTTTGTAGGCACGATAGAGCGTACAAACTATCCATCCAATAACCCACAAACAGAGAAAAAAACCAACAAACAAGCCACAAAGAGAGAAAAATAACGAACAAACACAGCCATAGAAAGCTTTTATTTTGGTGTCTTCAACTCACTTTGTGAGAAAGAATGTGGAGGAGAGAAGGGCTCCAAATTTTAATTTCCTGAAAAAACCATGTTAGTGAAAATTGATGGTGCGGATGAGACCAAACTTGAGATCAGAGAGGAGGGTTGTCGTGAGGCTGGTGATTGCAGAACCTGAATTTTTGATTAAGAACCTCTTTTACTTTTTAGAAAGAGAGGAAAAGCTATCAATTAGAGGGGAAGCTCTGTATTTTTTATTTTAGTTTTTTTTTTTTTATTGTATTTCTCTCTCTCTCTCTCTCACTTTCCATTTTATAAGGAGAAAAAAGGCTAGAAAGGTATTTTTTTAAAAAGAAAGGGATAAAAAACTCCAATACATTGTTGCGTTATTGTGTATTTAAAATTCACGAAATCATTCCCCTAATCTAATAGAACAATTTATCAAAGTAAAATTTGACAAATCAAACAATATAATATTATGAATTGTAATGAAAGTGATATATATCCAATCACAAATGATTTATAAGCATAAATTTCAAACATTAAATTAAAAATGAACACAAAAAAGGAAACTAAGAAAATGTACAAAAAGAAAAGGAACAAGGGAAATTATTTACATTACATTATTTTTAAATAAAAAGAATATGCATTATATTATTTTTAGATAATATAATCTAACTTTTTCATAAATCTTTATTTACAAGAATGAGTTTATAATAAATAAATATTGATTATTATAATGTATTAAGAATCATCATTTTTTCAAAAATATATTTTAATAAATATGTCATGAGCAATGACACACCAGCGATAGTAGAGGCTCTAAACAGGCTAAAGTTGGAGGCCAAGGTTGGTGCAAGAATTGCTCAAAAGCTTGATAAGAGGGAGGCCTTGGCTCGGTCTCTATATAGACAAGAGCCACCCAATTCTGCCTGGTCTTTAAGCTCAATTTCCAAGTTTTTAGGAAGACAGACCTTTAGGTATTGCATTTGACGATTTGTAAAGCTATGACCTAGGCTCAATTTCTACTAGGGTAGAGGCATTCCTTGTGCAATACCTGTAACACGCACCTCCAAAATTTTTTCGAATATGTAGTTTTGGTATCAGAAATCTAACGATGGCTTGAAAATCCATGTTCGATCCTAATTATAGAAATAAAAAATTTAAATTGTACAAATCAAGTAAATCGATAAATACTTAAAAATCTTGAAAATAGACAGTTCAAATAACTTGTTACAAGATGCACTATTTTAAGGACTTGAAATTCTTTTTGTTTTTATATCGATACATCTTGAGGTCGAGATAATCAATTGGAATATTTTCCAACTTCATAACACTCTCTTCTATTGGATTTTTGAGGTACACCTTGTTTCTATAGTATAAAGTTACAACCTTAGATATAAATATCTTCCATTATATATTATACCCTCGGTACATTAAAAAATATATATAATAAAAATTATATATCTCCTTTGCCTAGACATGGACCCAACCTATCCTATCAGGCTTGGTTGAGGGCAACTAGGAACCCGTTTTGGCTAGAACGGACCATTTTTCATTCAAAATACCCAAAACACCTATGATAGATCCTTTGCATTTCATAATAAAATGATAGCTTCAAAAAAGCTACCCAAAACTCTTTGATTGATCATCTCGACATCAAGATATACGACCATGAAAAATAAAAAGATTTTAAGTCTCACAAATAATGCATTTACAACATATTATCTATACTATCTATTTTCAAGATTTTCATATGTTTATAGATCTACTTGATTTTAACTATTTTTTAAATTTAAAATTTTGTAATTAGTTATAAAAATTGATTTTGAGATAATCCTAAAAACATTTTACATCAAAATTATAAACCATGATAAAATTTGAAGGTGCACATTACCTCTACACCTACGGATGCATCCGTATGCAAATTGCACCCTAAAAATATTGGTTCTTCTTTAATTGTTCACCATAATTCCTATCTTTCTTTATTTTTTGAAATTCGAATTTATCTTTTCTTAAGGGCTTATACAAATTTAATTAATATTTTAGGTTAAACAAATAATACTGTGGGTTTGAAGTGTGTAGTTGTCCGGGCAAGAACACAATATATGCACCATTTTTATAATAGGTAATCCTTAAATAATCTCACACCAAAAAATATCTTCCTCGTAGGAGGGAATAAATGAAAAGTATGTTCATGCAAGAGCAAAGTATACGCGCTATTTTTGTTGGGCTCACCCAATTGAGCCTTCTCATACGACTATTGCAGATGCGTGCAGCGGAACCCATATTTATGCACAAAATACCAAAATGATATACGTATGTATGAGAAAACATGCAATAACGCAAATAAAATAAATAACTTATTGATATGAGATTTTACGTGGTTCAAATTTTCAAGCTACGTCCATTGAAGAAAGATTTTAAATCTACTAATAAAAATAATAGTTACAACGTTCTTCCAAGATGCAAACTTTCTTAGGTTGTCTAACAGTTTTTTGAGACTTTATCTCTCAAGGTTTTCCCTAAAATTTTAGTTAAAATATCAAATGCTCCACTTATATGTAGAAATTATAAAGGTCCGTCACCCGTATTTTTTTTAATTTTTCAAAATCACCCCTTGGTCAACCTGAATTTTGACTTTTTTTTAATTTGTTTTCGTTTAAAGCATTACCCTACCAACGAAAAAACCATA